ACAGATACACTCGGATATTATGTTTCTCGGACTTTGCAAGAAAATGGACTTAATACCAAAAGGATTCCGATTTAAATACAATTTCCAACATAGTTTTATTACATTGCAAAAACAAAAAGCCCAACATATATACAACAGAACCTCCACGCAATTAAGAAATCTTGCACACAACACTGCTTACATTAAAAAATCTTTTTACATGAACTTATCTAAAAAAATCAGTTATTCTCTCTACCTAACACTTTCTCCGTTTCAATACTCTCAAGTAAAAAAAGCACTCAATTTCCTATACCAAAAAAAACTGACACAGTGTATATTTTTGAAAAACCAAAAACTCAATAAACTAATTGCTGAGGACCCCATTTTACAACACATAACTTACCTGAAAGACTATCTAATACAACAGATCCCACGAAGATCTCATTATGTTCACTACACCAATACTACCTCTGCTGACAACCACATCGCTAACCTATCTAAATACACTCTCACCCAAGGAGAAACCTCTTTATTAAATAAAGGATTATCATTCTGCCCCTCACAAACATTAAAACCTCTAAACCTTTGCTACGATATGGAAAAATACCTTCGTAGACTGAGACTAAAAGAATATTTCTCAGACAACCAACCTACTTCTAATACAGACAACAGCGCTAACCAATCATGCTCCAAACTTCCTCCGACGAAGAACAATACATGGACCCCACCAAGCGGACGTAACCAACACTTGGATCAATATGCCCACAAAGCCAGACAACACATGGATAACTTTTTAAAAAACAAAAGACACCAGATAAAAAAATACAACTTATCCAAAATAGAACACCAAGCCATCTATACTCTTAAAAACAACCGAGACATAATTATTGTACCAGCCGACAAGGGCGGAGCTATAACCATCTTAGACACTAACCACTACATTAAAGAAGCAGAATCACAACTTCAAAATAACAGATTCTATGTACCCTTACCTCTAGACCCAACTAGCACATTCAAAACAGAATTATCACTTCTCACTCAGAACCTGAACTACAACATAAAAAATACCATAAAATCTCTTATTCCTGAGAACCCTAAAACAGCAACATTCTACACTATCCCAAAACTACATAAACTCCCCAAAATCCTTTCAGAAAAACACCCTAACACTTTTTCATCCGACCCACATCAAATTACACAATCAAATAATGAAGAGAACATCTATGAAATTTCAAAAACCCTTAAAATCATGCCACCTGGTAGACCCATAATATCAGGCATTGGTACCCTCACAGAACTTATATCTGGGTACATAGACAATATCCTAAAACCTTTATTGCCTGACATACCTAGTTATATTAGAGACACTACTGACTTTCTCAACAAATTACAAAACATTAACTTAGTCCACCATGATACAATCCTAGTAACGATGGATGTTTCGTCCCTTTACACGAACATTCCACATGTTGAAGGAGTATCAGCTTGCTATGAGTTCATTAGTAACAAAAAATTACCTAACTACCAAATTACAGATATATGCCAATTAATAAATTTCATCTTAACACATAATAATTTTAAATTCAACAACAAACACTATTTACAGATTAGTGGCACAGCAATGGGCACAAAAATGGCACCTAGTTATGCTAATATCTTTATGCACATTCTAGAAAAGAAGATACTAGACAATTCAGAATATAAACCATCACATTACTTTAGATATATTGATGACATTTTCTTACTATGGACTCATGGATCAGAAAAATTAAAAACCTTTTCACTTTCTGCAACAATTTCCACGATACAATTAAATTTACCATGGAGCATTCATACACATCCATCCCTTTCTTAGACGTTATGATAAAATTAAACAAACATACACTTTCTACCAGTCTATACAACAAACCCACAAACCAACATAAATTCCTGCACTTTAACAGCTGTCATCCCTTTAAATTAAAAAAATCTATTGTATACAGCTCATTTCTAAGAATCAAACGCATATGCTCAGACCATTTAGATTTTCTATACAACATTAATCTTAACAAAACAATTCCTAAAATGCAAATACCCAATAAAAATAATAAAAGAAGCACTAAATAAAACTATCCTGATAAATCGCAACACACTTCTCACATACAAGAAAAATAAAAACAACAATCGGATTCCCATGGTTTTTAACCACAATCAATATTCCCACACACTTATTCACAATTTAAAAAATGATTACAAGAACCTCCAATTAGACAACAAGATCAAAGACATTTTCGATAAACCACCCATAAATGCAATGAAACAATCACCTAACTTATCAGCTATCCTCACCTCTACCAAATATCTAAGCAATAGAAACCAAACAGGAAATTACAAATGTAACAAACCTTGTTGCTTAGTTTGCAAACATTTAATAATAGCTAATACATTTTCCGTACCCAACACCAATATCAGAATACAGCCACCTAACCTCACCTGCGATACCCATAACGTAATCTATTATTTATTCTGCAACTTATGTCCT